TAGTTCACCCAAAAATGAAAATTCTGTCATTAATTACTCACCCTTGTGTTGTTCCAAACTAGGAATGTTCGCCGTTGTTCACTGACGAGCTGCGCAAAACCACGTTCATATTTGCGCGATTTTTTGCGCAGCTCGTCAGTGAACAACGGCTCTGTGTAGTTAATGCTGCTCAATGTGAAAGCCCGCAGGTGATGGAGATTTACCGCTGATTACAGAACCGTCTTTTCTGACAAGATGCGCGTTAAATATCGCATGCGATATTATATATATATATATATATATGTATGTAATTTACACACAAGATCAATGCAGAAATAAATATGGAGTTATGTGAACAGGATGCATCTCAAACAAGTCAAGATGAGGAAGAAGTCGTCATTTAGAGTGAACATGTAGTTCACAGTTTCTGGGAAAACATTACAAATTACAGGATTAAATGTGACATATCCAGTCTAAAGATTCGGTAGCATCCGTTTTATAATTACAGTACTTTGTCGTTTTGTCTTTTGTTTTTAGCTCAAGAGCGTAGGCCTATAATGTAGTACATAATGTAAAGCAGATTTGTGTTACTTGTGCTTTGTGTCTATTAAGTTCTAAAAAAAAAAAAGAAAATAATCTGAGATAAATTACCTTTCATCTGTAAGTATTTAACACAGAGTTAACAAAAAACAGATACTACGTTATGGTTCTGTATGGAGACGTTAAGTTAGTTTCAGTTTCATGGACTTTTAGTTTGTATTCTTTAGTTCCTGTCTCCCTTTGTTTGATTTTTCCCACTTGTTGTTTGTTGACATGGTTTCTGATTTGATTAGATCTTCAGTTAAGCTGTGTTTCGTTAATTTACTTTTGACGAAAGCTCCGTCATTACTCCGTACTTCCATTTTTACTTTCACTCTCTGCATATAGTGAATTGACTGAGAATAAGACATTCACCGGCATAACTCTTGCGCAAAGTTGGCCCATTGCTTGTGTGTGATATCTATTGGCTCACCTTCATGGTTTAAAACAGAAACATTTCCAACATTGCGACATAACCAATTACCCCTGAACCGAACGTACCGAACCGAACCGTGACACCACTGTGTCGTATCGAACCGAACCATGAATTTTATGAACCGTTAAACCCCTAATATATATGTATATATATATATATTAGGGCTGCACGATAAATCGCATGCGATATTTAAC